ACAGGGCGATCCAATATCGATTTTCTTAGAGAAACCATTAATGATAAAGTATACAATGTTCAGAATTGTATGTTAGATACAGCAATGATATTTATTCCTTAGACTTCGACAGATAGAATTAAGCATCGAATTACATGGTGGACACCAGATTTCCGCAGAGAGCTGCGTGAACGCAATAGGACCTAAAGGCCTTTAAAAATAACATCAATAACAAGAACTTTTGCGGTTGCAAACTAGCAAGAACTAGGTCTCGTAGAACAATAAGACAAGCTAGAAGAGACTCCTGGCGGAGCTTTTCTCTACACTAAACAGTAATACACAATATCACAGGTTTGGTCCACTGTCAACAAAACTTATAAGAAAAAAAATATTTCAATATTAACAACATTATTCACGAGGGTGCAAATACACTCGTCAGGCAGTTCTCATAGACAAGCAGCTCAGAAAATTACTTTCCGCATTCCTGACCACCAAGGAAGCGGCTGAGCTGCAACCTATTCCCTTTGCCACAGGAGATGACTTTGATTACAATAAAGAACTAACAATGACTGGCCTTGCCCGAGCCCTAGAATCCTAGAACCAGGTCCCGATGAGATTCGATATGAGATGATAAAGTATCTTAATCACGATGTCATGATTAAGTTGCTAGGAGTGCACAACGAAATTTGGAAAAGCCAGATTTTCCACTTTGTCCACATCATCCCCATATTGAGAGGTGGGGAAGATCCCAGATCCACCATTTCTTGCCGACCAATCGCGTTAATAAGTTGCTTATGAAAGGTCATGCAACAAATTGTTAAGAGTTGGCTATTGCACTTTTTAATTTCCAGAAATTTACTAGTTGACGAGCAGTGTGGTTTCTGAAAGGGAAGCCAAACTCTTGATCATATAGTAAAGCTGGACAGTCATAATCATGAGGCATTTGCCAAAAAGTATATTTTAGTATTTTTAGACACAGAAATAGCCTACATGACATGGCAATATGGCCTACTCAGAAAAAAATGTATGCTCTTGGATTATATGGAAACTTGGCATGTTTCATTCAAATTTTTAAATATTCAAAACGTTTAAAATCTATCAATAAATGTCTTGTAAATAACAATAAACATTGTATTAAAAATCAAAGCATAAAGATTATTCTCTAAATGTATAAAATGATTACATAAATATTATGAATAATTAAATTTTATTGAAAATGTTAGTCTCCCTGAGGAAACTAATTAGACCTATGTCACAATCCTCCCCAATACATATTGCAGCATATATGGGGGAGACAAGTACATGTGTCTTTGGTCTGAGAATGTTACACATCCTTCCACGTGCGTCCACATGTGCGACCGTTAATGGCTCTTGGCATCCCTCACAGCATGCTTCACTTTTAGCCATCATCGGTCCATGAGTCAGTCTTGTGTGCCCGATTCTTAACCTTGTTAATACAGCTTCTACTTGTCAGTTGGGATGGATGCTGGTCACCCAACTGCCAAGGTCATCTCTAATCTCTCACAGTGTATTTCTAGAGGTATGCCTCCATTGTTCCCTCCATTCATTGCAAAGACAATTAATGATGCTTTGTTTCAAGTCAGTGTGTGGGAGAGGAAAACAAGCATCACAGGGCTGAGCAGCAGTTGCCTTGGCCTTCCGATCAGCTCGCTTATTCCCCCTGATACCAACATGCGCTGACACCGAACACAGTTATCTTTTTATCCGTGCTGATATCAATGCAAGCCAATCTTGAACCTCCCTCACTACTGGATGTGATGAGTTTAAACTCTTGATTGCTTGCAACCACAATATATTACAATAGAATAGTTTGTAAGATCTCTAGTCCTCTTGACTGCTGCAAGGATGGCATGTAACTCTGCAGTTAAGATCGAAGTTGCTAGAGAAAGACTGCCAAATGCAATCTTCCTTCTGTTCACTGTTGCAAAGCCCACACCATTTTCAGATTTCGAATCATCTGTATATATTGCATATGATCCTTAGTACTTAGAAGTGTGTTGAAGAAATCTATCTCTGACTTCTGCTTCGGATCTCTCCCCTTTCTCAGAGGCGACCAAATCCAACTTGACTTAATTGATCCAAGAGGGGAATTGGGAAGTTCCAACACCCAGGACCTTAGTGAGATTTAAATCTTCCACAAGATTCTTTGTAGTCTCGTATAACAAATCAGATTCATGTGGTCCCGGTGTGAATAAAGAGGTGTTTCTCCACTCTCAGCATACAGGGACTCCACAGATAAAGACCTGAAAGCCCTTGTACAGATTCTGAGAGTTTCATCACGAACTGTGTCCAACATCTAGAGAACAGTGGGAGTTACAGATGAGTTGCATCATATCCATAGTCAAGTTTATTATGAATAAGCGCTCGGTAAAGCTGCAGAAGCGTTGTGCAGTCAGCACCTCAAGAGAGGTGTGAAAGAACCCGCAAAATACTAAGTGCTTTTGTATCTTTCACCTTTAACTATTTGATGTGAGGCACCATGTAAGCCTTGAGTCAAAAATTAGACCCAAATATCTCACCTCTTGGACAAAATGCAGTGGGTTTGCTCCTAAATAGAGGGAAGGATGAAACTTTCCTCTTTTATAGAAATGCTTGGCTGTGATTTTGCTTGCAGAAAATTTGGACCCATTGTTGTGTAGCTACTATACAACCTGATTTGTTGCAGTCTGTATGTGTCCTTGCACATCCTGCACGCTTCCTCCTGAGCATTACAGTGTAAAGTTATCCACATATAGATTACATGAGACAGCACTTGGAACGACCTCTACAAGTCATTAGAGCAATGGCAAACAGGGTCACACTTAAGACACTCCCTTGTGGAACCCTTTCCAGCTGATCTTCCAGGTTAGAGAAACTGTTTTCCACCCTCACTCTAAACTTCATGTCAGCCAGGAAGCTTTGTATGAACGTAAGTAATGCTCCTCTTAAACTAATGTCATACAGCTTCATGAGTATACCATGCTTCCCAGTGGTATCATAAGTCTTTTCAAGGCAAAGAAGACTGCTAATATGTGACGTCGCTGTGTGAAGGAATTCTTTATAGCAGTTTCCATCCTCACAAGTGCATCTGTGGTTGATCTCAAATTTCTAAACCCATATTGATATGGGGTCAGCACGTTTTCCTTTTCTAGTAGCCATGTAAACCTGAAGTTTACCATTTTCTCCATCAGCTTGCAGATGCAGCTTGTGAGAGATATTGGTTTGTAATTCCCAGGTATGGACCCATTCTTGCCAGGTTTAGGGACAGGAATGATTATACCCTCTTTCTGTGTGCATGGCACTGTGCCCTCCCTATAGATCCTATTGAATAAGTCCAATAGGAACTTTTGGGAGTTCTCCGGTAAGTGAGATATCATTTGGTATGGAATAATGTCACTTCCTGGGATAGTCTTACAGCAGAGCTGCAAAGCAGAGCCCATCTCCTTGCACAAAAATGGCAAGCTGTATGGAAATTCTGCTACAGTCCTACTGAAGAATGACATTGGGTGTCATTCCTGTTCAGTGTAAGATGCTCCAGAGGTGATCTCTACCATGGATTTAGCTAGCTTATTTGCAACACCTTTTTTGTTTGTGAGGATTATGCCATCTATCTTCAGGTGGTGACATGGATGTTCTCTTTCCATTCGCCTGGCCTTGGCTTGGGTCTTTTTATAATTAATCAAGAATTGCATCCCTGGGGCGTCATTTCAAAAGCCTTAATGCAGCTTTTCTTGCTCTGACAGCTTGTTGGCATTCATCAGACCACCATGGTACTGGAGGTCGATGGTACTGATTAACAGCATCTTGAACACACTGGGAATCGTTCACAGATCCATGCAATACTGTAGTTGCTCTAAAAAGACTCCAGTCTGCAAGTCGTCATTTCTGCACTCCATTAGCTAGAATACTATTCACGTTTGCAATGCTCCCCACCACGGCAAGGCGACTCCCGTGAGGGGGGTGGAGACCGGAATATCTCCCCTCCGACTCAGACGTAGCCAGCAGACGCTGATCTGTGCCCCCAAATAGCCAGAGCAGAATGCTTTGTTTCGGCTTTTGCGCGCGGAAGGCTGGGGCATTAGGCACCTCATCGACAAACTCGGTATAGATCTCTCTTTCATCGACACCCTGGTTCTGTCAAATATAGCGCCATGGGAAACATTTACCACCATGGATGCTTGGCTTCCATCAGCCAAGGCCATGGTACCGAAGGTACGCCAGAGGTTTAGAGATCCTTATCGAACTTCTTTCTCTTTCATTTATAGACCGACTTCTCCAACAAATGAGTGTGTGGGTGCAGGTGTATGGTCGACTGAATATGAACTGAGCTTCAGACAGCCGAATCATACATCGATCTTTCTTGCAACTAATAGAGCTACGATAATACAGTGATTTTTTTCTGATTCATTAATTAAATTCACCTAAAGCCATTAATTCCATAGAGACCACAAAAAATGACCTGCTGGGTTATATTATTCGTAAGCCACTCTGGTATCCATGGCAATGGGCAGGCTGGAAAATTATCTAGATCAATCTGTACAAATCTCCGGTGTTTTGTTTGCTTTATAAAAACAAATATCCATCTCCCGTGGCAAATTGAGTGAATCAACCTAAACACGAATAACAAACACAGAAACATCACAGAACCGTAGGACACAGCCAAAGGAAAATCAGATGGAAGGAGGTGGCGCTGGTCCGGATCAGGGTCAGTGCCGCAAGATGGAACCACCTTACCCCATATATTGAGAGAAACTATCCTCTGCAATGTCAGCATTGCATCAACCACCTCACAATAGTACACATCTTGATATCGTGTCACAAATACAGTACCAAAAGACAATGCTTAAAAAATTACATCAAATCCAAAAACACAGATTTCTTAACATCAAATATTTTATCAGATGATGAAAGAATCATCAGCAAAGTAATCACTTTTCTAAGGGAGACAAAACTTTATGACCTTATCTAGACTGAACTAATGAACCGAATCCAATGGCTTAATGATCTTGGCTGGCTGTGTT